TGTTTCATGGAACCTGTCTGGTAGCTTCACAATTTTCCTCTCCAGGACTTATTCTCAATGAATGATGGATGAAATAAAATAGATCCTTGTGGCTGAATGTCACTTTCTACAAAAAGGCTTTTTTTATAGGTCCATTTTTAAGGAAATCAGTTTGTTGACACTGATAATCACTAACATTTTAGGAGATAAAATAACTGAAATCACCTGTTCTCTGCTACAGAGCCCATAAATAAACTGTCTCAACAGCCACTCAAACCATAGCTTTCAGACAGTTAAACTAGCAATGTTATCCATCCAGTTTCACTACAGTAAAATCACACCAAATCCTTTCAGCACTCAGAAGATGCTTCAGACACCAGTGGAACCATGTGGTTTCCAACTAATGCATTGAGCTAACTTCTTGAATTCTGCCAAGAAATCAAGTTCTGTATTATGTAAATCAGTACACCTCACAAAACGTGACACGAGCCTCCAAAACCAGTCTAATGTTTCAAGGAAATACGTCCAAAATCCAATACAAGTGTATTGGATACTCAACTCACAATATCCAAAACTTAATTACAGGACAACTGTTTCATAAATAACAAGTGCAAAAAACAAAAAAAATTAAACCAATCAACAAGGCAAATGGTAATCTTCTCTAGAAAGGTGACACCTGCTTTGGAATCCTAGTCAGTGTTTCATACCAACTACTGTAATCTCCTTTGGACACAAACATAGCAGAGTGATAGGCAAAGGAACAGCCTGGGGAAGAGCCAGATGACCTAATATACTGGGAAGAGGCAAAAGCTAAAGAACACATCCTAAAATGGCAACAAAAGAGGATGGTATCTTTGGGTGCAAAAAATCAGCAAACTGAAGCATGAGAAGAGAACCACATATGAAGTTCCATCTAAGCTTTCAACACATTTTGAATGAATGCTTCATGACAGATAAAGCAATTCAGTTTAAAAGCAATAGTGAGGACATGGCAAAACACATGCCAAAGCAGCTTTGAGGCTTCAGATCACACACTCCCATGCAAATGTCCTGACACACGAGTGAAGCCTTTCTATGATTAACATCACACTTGTCTTAGCAACAAGAAAAGGCAAAACCCTCTGCAGTCTTCCCTACGCCAGGACGTGACAGAGCCTTTCGTGTGAATGGGAACTGATTAGACTGACCCCTCATCACACACTTCTTCCCCAGGTCAAATCACATAGAACCTGTAATATGAAGTGTTCAAGCATTTTAACCAAACTATGAAACACTACGTGTCTCCTAAATCCATATACTAAAATAACTACCCTAATTTGAAGGTCGGAAGTGATTTAGAACAAAATAAAAATCCTTCCCTGATGATGTGTCTTAGTGAAGTGACCACCAAGGACCAGTGAAAATGAATTTTTTTTGGTTGAAAGAAAAAAGAAAACTTGAATGAGTCAGCATTTGTCCCTCCAGGCCATGCTGTCTCCCACCACCCTGCCCAGCACTTTTGCCCTCAGTAGTACCTGTGGTGCTGACGGGACTAATTACCTGTTTTGAGGCTGGGACTCAACTCTCGGCTAGTGCTGGGAGGTGGGAGGGCCTCTGGGGCTGTCTGTGCTGGAAGGGTTCGATATGGAGGAGGAGTCAACTCTTCGTCACCAGAGAAGCTCCTCCGCACCCCACCCGACCTGGGCAGGCTCGACAAACTGACAGGCTTCTTCCCAACTGGCATCTTCCTCTCTAAACATCAAGTCAGACTGAAGTAAGCTTTTACTTACATGTGGGGTAAGAAAAGTGCATCACATACTAGGAAGCGTGTGTTGACAGGACACTCTGAAAAGAGAAACAGCTAAGCAAGGTCTGTACTTCTGAAAACAAGCGAGTGTGTGTGTGTGTGTGTGTGTGCGCGCCAGGGGGTAGATGATGGTGGTGACTGCTCCTACTCTCTGACAGTCTGATAATGCTGGTCTTGATTCTCATTTGAATAAGCTTAAAACAAAACAAAGAAAAATGAACCACAGAGAGCATTTTTAGTGTGCAGAACAGCTGGCGAATTTCTTTCAAGGAAATCCCAGCTTGAGGAGGAGTGACACTGAAGGAGACAGACAGGGTTTTAAGCACAGCACTTCCCCGTCCAAACAAGCCAACACTGGCCTTCCGTGAAAGTGAAGTAAAAGAGCTTAAATATAGTATCTGGGAGGCAGGATTTCATCAGCTTGAGATTTGCTCCCCTAGTTTTTAGTTTACAATCCACTCTCAGCAAACATTATTCTGAAAAGTACTTCTGAAATTCAAAGCCGACTGCCTGCAAGTCCTTAGGCAATCTAATTTCTTCTGAAACAAATTTATTATACCCTTTGGTTATAGTTTCATGTAAACAAACCTAAACCTTACTAAGACTTATACAATGTTTTCACCAACCTCTGAACTTTGTAAATATTCCACAACCAAGTATAGGGCATCAAGTAGGCTGAAAACTGAAAGATACTTATACATCTTTGTCGACTATAACTTATGTCTGTTTTCTTCCAAAGTATACACTGACCCAGGTAAGAGAAGCCAGAAAGCATAATTCACAGAATCAGAGAAAAAAAAAGATAAACCTAAGGCAGACAGTATTCCTATGAAATGAATCTGGAAACTCAGCCACTAGTGAGGATCCTGTCAACTCTCAAACCAAAGCCATGTGCAGCAATGACGTAAGACCTTCTCTAATACACCGTGTATTTAGAGGTAGAAATGCAAGGAGCAATCTCCAATTACTTACAGTAGTCTCTGAAAACGGTGACACTGAAGACAGAAGTTAGTGCTGCTTTTTCTGCTCTAGTGTTCTACACCTTGAGAAAAAGGGGCCTTTGAGACTGGACAGTCTGGAAGATCCCCTTGGCAGACCGTGGCCCTCACATTTGAAAGTGATACTTAATAACTTCATAGCATGAAGGCAGCTCTTACAAAATGGGCTAACAAGGAAGTCAATCACTATCTATTTCTGCAGAAAAATAATCACTACTAAAGAACAGTCTGATGGATGATTGAAAGTAAAAAAAAGATCCAAGGGTTATAAGACAAAAGAACAGAGCCAGAACATAATAACCTACAGGCAAATTTAAAAACAGATAAAAGGTTTGGTACTTTGCCTACTGATTTAAGCAGGCCTGTAATAGATGACTTAGGTTTCTAAGCATCAAATTCTTTATTTAGATAACTGAAGTTTTGTGGAAAATATTTTGAACAGACTATTTATATACGAGTAATACAAATATTTACATGTATTTTACTCCAGAAAGTGCTCCAGTCTGCAAAGGGTGTTCCAAAATACATGCCACACACACTTAGGTTTTACCCCTAATTCTGCATTTCAGCACATCTAGCCTTGCAGGTCACTAATGAGGGACTGTGGGTTATACTTCTTTTCTATTCTATGCCTAGAGACATTAGAGATGATGCCACAATACTGAAAACTATCAAGACAACCCAGTTAAGGAATATGTTACATCTAGAGCTAAATTAAATTCATTTTATCCAGCTAATCCAGAAATGTGATAATTATAAATATCACTAAAAACTGGAATGCTGAGATTACTTCATTAATTACATATTTTTCCTAAGTTTCTAGCCCATTAATTCAAAATAACCTAAACTTCACAAGCCAGAAACAAACCGTACAAGAATCAGACTGAGGTGAGCACATGACCTGAGTGCAGAATGCTCATAAATTAGGCACCAAAAGCAGGTCATCTAGCCAAGGTAGCACTGTTCTTAATTCAATGTCTTAGAGAACTGTGCAATATCAAAGTCTTATTATCCATCAAAAAGCACACAGAGGCTAAACCAGCCTGTTATTCATGTTACACAAAGCTTAGCAATCATACCTGCTATGCTTTCTAGTTCACTGACAGTGTTCCCATGTGAGTTCTCCATAATCATTTTCAGATACATGGGAACCCACTCTGCTCTACCTGGTATGGCACTGCTGAAGTTCTTCCAGATTAACATCAGATCTAGCAAACAGCTAGTTGGTGACATTCAAAAGTTTACTGGCTATAATTTCTTAAGAAAGTTCTTTTTTTGGTGAGCAAAATAATCCCGAGTCTATGGGAGGTTGAGGCTGATAAAAGACAGGCTCATCTGTCTGTAGGTTACCATCACTGTGAGGCTGACTTGGGTTTTGTGTTGGGAGGAAGTTTGTTTTTCAAATCACCACTATAGTGCCAAGAAGTTTTTAAGTTTCCCACTTAAAAAGAATTATAGACAAGCAACTCTAGTCTGAAAGAGTGAGGTAAACTCCATTTCTGTTGCTTTCAATCTGGCTGTTAATGAGACAGATTAGCACTTATCTGAACACATGGCAAGTTAGCTACAAAAATCTGTTTCAATTCTGATTAGGTGTTAATGTTTTAAAAAGATCCTGAATAAACAATTTTATCTCTGAATGAAATATTCCAGGACAAGTTTCATGAAGAGAAATCCTCTTGGTTTTCTAATGTGGGGACAAAATGATTCTAAAGAATCCAATATAGCCATCAATGTATTTTACATTACTTTGGCTACAAATGCCAACAGCCACTCACTGGAAGCTAAAATAGAGAACAGAGAATGCTGCGTAAGCCTGACTTTGTTAGCCATCAACCTGGATTTCTCACAAGTATCATTCTTGAAAGAGAATTTTGCTTCTGCTTTATAAAAACAATAGGTTTTTAGGCTCCAAGTCTACTGTAAGCATCAAGCACATTTTTAAAAAAATATAGACTGTTAAAAGAGATTAACTTTCAGTAGGTTTACATATTATTTCAAAAATCATTCATAGCTGTGTTCTTTACCATGTTTACATTAAATTCCATGGTAATCATTTTTCCTGTCAGTTAAAACCTAAGTGGTTCTCCTTGTTGAAGAGGTTTGCCTTTTATGGCATACTGCACCTTTAAGCATTATACATAATGCACACACAGCATTTTGGACAGAGATTCCATTTTCTGTGCAAGAACACTGTAGCCTCAATTGATTAAGAATTAGAAAACGCATGTAAGCACCATGTGGTGACCCACTTTTCTTATGTCCTTTGTATTGCTGGGACTTAGCCTTTTTCTTCTGTTTTGATGAAGCTGACTGGCTTTCTCTTGAAGCTGAAAAATAAAAGGGAAAATTGGTACCAGATAACTCTTTACAATTCTAGATACAAATTATATGAACTGTCTTTACGAGACCGTTATGCTATGAAAATATATGACAGTATGAAAATAAAGGGCACTTGTCCCTATACAGTAAGGAGCTTCAAGACCACACAGATGTCTCTCCTCAATAAGCACTTCTTGTACGCTCAACACTCTGCCTGTGATCTGAATTTACTTAAACAGGCAATCTAGCTTAATTTGGTTACACTGTGTTTCCACACACATGTAACTGACTATTGAGTTCATACTGCCTTTGGTACACATGGTCTGATTTTCTGAGTCTGTTGAGTTTTAACATCTTACCTGGTAACCAATCAAACACAGGTATATTCTTGTCCTGTGAGCTCACAAGATGATTTATGTGAGACAGTCCTCTGGAGAACTGCTGATGTTTACAAAAGGACACCTTTTGTGTATACCAACTTACACTGTGATGCTGGAGGCTGTAGCTGATATCCAGTTAATTGACACCACCCTACAGGATAGAGGTCAGGGGACTCACAGTCTACCCACTGATCATACTCTTCTTCCCATCCATCAAAATGTATCCTCAAGAGACGATGAATAATCCGAGTTACTGTGGCTACACATATTAAACGTGGCTCCATGAGGTCTACTGCTTCTAATTTCATTCCTACACGAAATCCGTGGTTTGGAACATCCTAACAGGGAAGCAAAACATTAACACTAGTATAAAGAATGCATGACTGAACTGTAACTAAAATAGCAAAAAATTGAGGCAATATAGCCAAATAACATAGCCCCTAAACCTCAAACCACTTTTAATTATTTAAGTTATATTACGGCAGTGAAGCATTTTTATTTCATTCATATTAAAAATAAAACATAGTTTGGAAATAAGCTTCAACTAAGAAAATAAATGGTTTTAATATTATGTATTTATATTAATCACCACTAAGCAATTATAATATAAAGGAAAGACATCTTCATCAACAATGACTTGCACTTATAGGTCATCAAAAAAACTCCAACATAATTAATTCAACATTTATATTTACCTTATTAAATAGTTTTACTGGTGCTGCAATGGAGCCAGTTTCCCTGAGGTAGTCAAACCATTTAAAAGGAAGTTTTGTGTAACCTAAAAAACAGAATTTTATGAAGTAACACTTCATTTAAAATTAGCCTAATACTAAAATGTAGAAAGAGGTAACATATACAGAGTCTCCGATTTCAGGTTATATGACACACTTTTAGCTCACTGGTGTGCCTACTTACTATCATGCCAGTCTGATTCCCTTCCTTTGGGTTTACTACAAGAACGACTTTTGCTTTTGCAATCACAGGCTTCAGAAGAGTCTAGCATTTAACACCCTGAAGTGATATTTTTCTTTTTTTTAAAGAAAGAAAACTAGGCAAGCAAATATTGTTTTTATAGACCTCTGTTGTAGCTTTCTTTTTTCCTCTTCTGAGAGAAAAAATAAAACTCTGAGGAAAACTGGAAAAATCAACTGATTTAGCCATGTGATTTACTTAACACACATTTCCTTTAAAAAAAAAAAGCCATCTTACGATCGAAGTTCCTTCAATCTTAAGGAACAGTGTGAGAGAGAAAGAGAGAAGCCCTCCATCCACTCGTTCACTCTCCAAATGGCTGTAATGGCCAGAGCTGGGCCAGGCCAAAGCCAAGAGCCAGGAACCAAGATCCAAGAGCCTCTTCTAGGTCCCTGACATGGGTGGCAGGGGCCCAGGGACTTAGGCCATCTTCTGCTGTTTTCCCAGGCAAAGTAGCAGGGAGCTGGATGGGGAGTAGAGCAGTCAGGAATTGAACTGGCACCCATATGGGATGCTGGCACTGCAGGAGGTGGCTTAACCTGAAAGCCAGTAGCACCCTTTCCTTCAATTAAAAAAAAAATTTATATATGCAATAGCCTTGAGTTCATATTATCATTAGGTTAAAACACCAATTCATATTAGAAAATGGACAGATGGTTTGGGAAAAATTCTGTCTTAATGTAATTTGTTATGTAAACTTAAATACAGTGCTTTGTTTTTAGAGCACCTAACAGCTTCCGTTATTTCTATATAGCTAACACACACCTATATAATATATAGACCCCAAAGCAAGAATATCTGTGCTAAATGTAAACAGATCCTGTGTAAGAAGAACTCAAGAATCAAATCCGAGTGTTCACATTAGGATGGAATACCTCTGGGTGGAGTAAGTTCAATCATATTAATTTCACAGAAACCGACAGGGAAAATCGAAGGAGATGTCGCATGGTAACAGAACCAGTCAGAGCCATCCGCTGCTTCTGAGCCATCAATCCCAATCATGAGGAATCCATCAGCCAGCACCTTTTAAATTAAAAGCCCAAGTATCTGAAATTAGATACAACTATTATAAAAAATGACACTCTGAATTAAATGACACTTTCAAGGAAAGGAAAATCTATTACATAAGGATCTCTTCAAAGTGGAAATGCTTGTCTACTGATTGATGTTAAATAACAGAAGTTGTAACAAGAAGCCTATATAGTTTCCAGTGTGTTCCAGAAACCAAAAGCCCAATAACAAAGTGACTTCAGAGGTTTGAGAAAAACAGTATCTTTGCCACCAGCAAAAGCTGCCTGTTACTGTGTCAGGTAGAAGCGCCATAACCATGTGGGCTGAAAATACTACTCGGCAGTACCTTTACTTTGTTCCTATCGATCTATTTCATACAGTTTTTCCAGTACATATTACCAGGAAGCTGGAATTAAGAGCAGAGCCAGAGCCGGCGCCGTGGCTCAATAGGCTAATCCTCCACCTTGCGGCGCCGGCAAACCGGGTTCTAGTCCCGGTTGGGGCGCCGGATTCTGTCCCGGTTGCCCCTCTTCCAGGCCAGCTCTCTGCTATGGCCAGGGAGTGCAGTGGAGGATGGCCCAGGTGCTTGGGCCCTGCACCCCATGGGAGACCAGGAAAAGCACCTGGCTCCTGGCTCCTGCCAGGATCAGCGCGGTGCGCCGGCTGCAGCGGCGGCCATTGGAGGGTGAACCAGCGGCAAAGGAAGACCTTTCTCTCTCTGTCTCTCTCTCTCACTGTCCACTCTGCCTGTCAAAAAAAAAAAAAAAAAAAAAAAAAAAAAAAGAGCAGAGCCAGGACTTGAACCTCAGCACTCAGATATGGGACATGGGTGTCCCAAGAAGTGTTGTGATTACTGTACCAAACGCCCACGGTGATTCCTACATTTTTTTTTAAGTTGTACTTATTTATTTGAAAGTCAGAGTGAAAGACATAGAGGGAAAGACAGCGAGAGATCTTCATCTGGTGGTTCACTTCCCAAATACCAAAAGTGGAGACTGCGCCATGTGGAAGCCAGGAAACTCCATTTGAATCTCCCATGTGGGTGACAGGAACCCAAGTATTTGGGCCAAGATCTGTTACCTCCCCGACTCATTAGCAGGAAGCTGGATTTGAAGCAGATGTGGGACTTGATCTCAGGCACTCTGGTATGTGATATGGGCATCCAAGGCAGTGGCTTAATTCCCTGTGCTACAATTTCTGCTTCTTGATTCCTGAAGTTTTATCATGAGTTTGTCAGTTCTGCAGTCTAAATATACTCTGAGAATTAGTACAGGGCATCAAACCAACAAACCTCTTACTTCTCTGTAGGTAATCAATCTCCAGGTGTCAAGACCCCACCTCTACTGCCAGTCCCTTCTTTATCCTTGTCAATCTCCGTCACTTCATTATGATGTCTAGTATTATTGCTTTCAGCTGTCTTCCACAGACACTCTCTCACACAGACTTCCAACTCTTTCAGTGTCTGCTCCCAAGTTCCCATTTCCTAGTTATTTCTACTACATTGGAGCTCAATAGCTCTACTTGCATGGTATTCCTTTCTCTATCCTTCTAAACACAGTTGACTAACCAGGGGCTGATGGTATCCTGAAGGGAACCAAGCCAAAGGTTAGGCTCAGCTATTTCAATTTTCTCTTAGTAACTGGAATTAATAGACATAGCAATTGTTCCAACTCATGGTTGGGAGCCTGAAACTATGCTGCAAAATGGCCAGGGGCCCCTAGTCCAGAGTGAGTGAATGGGACACCAAGGGAGATAGCAATACTATGGGTGCAGCACAGAGATGGGAGAAAGGGTGACCAAGAGGCAGGGGGATGAATCCTGGGTCTCTTCTAGCCAGGCTCTCAGCCCTGTCACTGCGCATCTGTGAAACTGTTCACTAGGCACTGGTAAGCTTCTCAGAGTTAATCTGAGTAGGTTTCTGTTCCAATTGAAAACCAACCAACCAAAACACACAAACTCTGACCAGAATCCCCAGCACAATGCTTTTCATGTACATCTTATGTGAACCTCTCGCCCTTTGTCAAGCCTGGCCTGTACTTTCCTTCTCATCTTTGGGTTTTAGTGCTCAGTCTCTCCCCACCGGCAGTTTCTACCTACATCTGTGCTGGGTTATTTTCCCAGCCTTCAAGATATATTTTTCAAATGCCCTCCTTTCCTTTCTTTTTCTTTCTAGATGTTCTTTACAAATGCCTTCCCATTTAAAGTCTAAAACTAAGCCAAAAGAGTTAAAAACAATTATAGCTGCTGAGTATCCCAAATACCTGTGTTCAAGGTCATATAGCTGAACAAGACTGGGTCCATACCCTGTTCTTCCTCTTTACCTTACTAGTGATAACAGCCACCTATAAAATTTAAAACATGGGACCAGGCATTTGGCCTAGTGGTTAAGATACCAGTTAAGATGCCAATGTACTGTATTGGCATCTTTCCTTTCTTCCTTTAAAAAAAAAATTTTTTTATTAGAGCAATAGAGAAGGAGGGACGGAGAGACCAACCTTCCGTCCACTGGTTCACTCTCTAAATGGATGCAACAGCCAGGGCTGGACCAGGCCAAAGCCAGGGTCAGAAAGTCCATCCTGGTCTCCCACACATATGGCATGGGCCCAAGTATTACAGCCATCATCTGTTGTCTTCCTAGGCACATCAGCAGGAAGCTGGATCAGGGGTAGAGTAGCTCAGACTTGGGAACTGGAACTGTGATACGGTATGCAGGCATCACGCTGCACCACAGTGCTGGCCCCTGCCCTCTCCTCTGCAAACATCTTTTCTTTGTACTTTGTATCTTTTTTTTTTTTAAATATTTATTTTATTTGAAAGAGTTACGGAGAGAGAGAAAGCCACAGAGAGAGAAAGAGAGGTCTTCCATTCCGCTGGTTCACTCCCCAAATGACTGCCACAGCCAGAGCTGAGCTGATACAAAGTCAGGAGCTTCTTCTGGGTCTCCCACGTGGGTTCAGGGGCCCAAGGACTTGGGCCATCTTCCACTGCTTTCTCAGGCCATAGCAGAGAGCTGGAAGAGAAGGGCAGCAGCCGGGAATCGAACCGGTGCCCATATGGGATGCTGGTGATGCAGGCTGGGGCTTTAACCTACTGCGCCACAGCACTGGCCTCTTTGTACTTTGTATCTTTTTCCTCTTTGTAAAAAATGATTTATTTATTTTATATATGTAGAAGACAGAGACACACTGAGAAAGAGACCGGGAGATAGAGATCTTTCATCTGCAGGTTCACTCCCCAAATGCTTGCAACAGTTATAGCTGGACCAGGCTGAATCCAGGAGCCTGGAATCCAAGCACTCTAAGCCATCACCTGCTGCCTCCAAGGCTGTATGCGCATTAACAGGAAGGTGGGTTCAGAAGTGGAGCCAGGCACTTGGATATGGGATCTAGCATTCCAAGAGGGATCTTAACAGCTGCAAACGCCCATCACCATGTTTGTATGTTTTTAAAGCTAGTGTATCTTATATTAAACTTAATTTTACATATCTTAACTTTGTTCTATCAGAATATTAAGAATCCAAACCAAATGTAGCACATTTTTAAACAATGCTTGTTCTACTAATTGGACAATTCATTCTTATATCATGAAACAGAGAATGGTAGCAATGGTTTTCAAATCTGCCTGATTATCAGAAATCACCTAGCAGACTTTCTGTTGCTTTATATTTATTTGAAAAACAAGGAGAGAGAGAAAGAGAGAGAACAGACATCTTTCATCCACTGGGTTCTCTCTTTAAATGTCCACAATAGCCATGGCTGGGCCAGGCCAAAGTCAGGAGCTGGGAACTCCCTTTTGGGTCTCTGATGTAGGCAGCAGGGACCAAAGCACTTGGGTTATATCATTGACTGCCTTCCCATGCAACAGCAACAGGGAGCTGAATCAGAAGCAGAGTGGTTGAGGCTTGAACTGACACTTCAGTATGGGATGTGCTGTCCCACTGTGCTGCAGCTCAATACTCGCCTCTTTTCAAAAATAAACACAGGGGCGGGGGTTAAGCCTCCATTTGGGACACCCAAGTCTCATATCAGAGTGCCTGGGATCAAGTCCTACTTCCACATCTGATCCAGATTCCTGCTGATGTGCCTGGGAGGCAACAGATGATGGCTCAAGTACTTGAGTCCCTGCTCCCCATGAGGCAGACCTGGATGGAGTTCCAGGCTCCTGGCTTTGGCCTGGCCCCACCACTGGCTGCTGTGAGTATTTGGGAAGTGAACCAGCAGATGGAAGATGTGTCTCACTCTGCTTTTCAAATAAATAAAAACAAATCAGTAAACATCTAAGCACCCCAAAAAACAGAAGGAGGGTATTTGGCCTAGTGGTTCAGATATCAGGATGCCTGTGACCCACAGGTCAGTGCAGACAATGGGAGACGGAATTCACAGCTCCTGGGTACAGTCCTGGTCCTTTCCTGGCTGTTCAATCAGCAGGGAGGAACTCTATCTTCCCTGCTGTCCTGTCTTGAGTAAATAAATCAGCTAAGAACTGGGAGCTCATCTCCAGTCTCCCATGTGGGTGGCAGGAACCTAATTACTTGAGCCATCGTCTGCTGCCTCCTACAGTCTGTATTAGCAGGAAGCTGGAGCCCGGGGCCAGAAATGGGCATCAAACTCAGGCACTCCAATACAGTACATTGGCATCTTAACTGGTATCTTAACCACTAGGCCAAATGCCTGGTCCCATGTTTTAAATTTTATAGGTGGCTGTTATCACTAGTAAGGTAAAGAGGAAGAACAGGGTATGGACCCAGTCTTGTTCAGCTATATGACCTTGAACACAGGTATTTGGGATACTCAGCTGCTATAATTGTTTTTAACTCTTTTGGCTTAGTTTTAGACTTTAAATGGAAATCATAATTTAAGTTATAACTTCAAATAATAGATTCTGGATCAGTGGTTCTTTTTTTGACAGGCAGAGTTAGACAGTGAGAGAGAGAGACAGAGAGAAAGGTCTTCCTTCCATTTGTTCACCTTCCAAATGGCCGCTACGGCCGGTGCGCTGCGCTGATCTGAAGCCAGGAGCCAGGTGCTTCCTCCTGGTCTCCCATGTGGGTGCAGGGCTCAAGTACTTGGGCCATCCTCCACTGCCTTCCCAGGGCCACAGCAGAGAGCTGGACTGGAAGAGGAGCAACCAGGACAGAATCTGGTGCCCCAACTGGGACTAGAACCCAGGGTGCCGGCGCTGCAGGCGGAGGATTAGCCAAGTGAGCCGCAGTGCCGGCTGGATCAGTGGTCCTTAACCACAGCTGTACAAAAGAATCACCCTGGGCCTTTAAAAATGCCAATGCCAGGGACTCAACCCGAACCTATTTAATCCTAACAGGGGAATGTGAGGGTGCACCTGTCTTAAGTTTTAAGTTTCCCAGGGAATTCTGATGCGTACTGAGAAATAAGAATCTTTCTTCTAGATCCATACAAATAGTTCCAGGTGAGAGGGAAAAGAGAGAATAAAGTACTATCAAGAAGAGAAAGAGTACAAAAAGAAAACTGAACATAAACTTCGCCTTCTTGGGCTGTGTTGAATGAGTCTGACCAGAAAGTAACTTTGATAAATATTCTTCTAACTCAGCTAGGATATAGTTTCACAAATATAGTAGCAGATTCAAAATGACAATCTTGACAGCAAACCACATTAAAAAACAAACAAAAAAAAAGGTGACCTGATAAGAGAACACAAATTTATGTTGAAATGACTAGTATCTCTCTCCTCAGTCAACATCCAGATACACACATACAATGTCTAAATGAATATGGCAGAGGCCGCCTTCTACTGTATTTCTGTACTGTGAGTCCTACTCTCTTACCTTTCTAATGGTCGCAACACATATTGTAGAAAGATTTAATGGGTCTATAGCTTCCAATTTCATTCCTTCTTTGAACCATTCCCCACTCAGGTCTACTTCTTTTACCTAAAGAATCATATGAAAGCACATCTACTATTATAAACATTGTCATTTTAATGATTACAATGCAAAAAATTTGAAAAGGTTTACCAGATGCCTTCTCCTACCTACCTAGTATTCTAATTCAAATTTTTCATTAGGAAATAAACTTCAGACACACAGACAGATTTTAAGAATAATTAGAATAAAAGTGTGACACCTATGGATTATAAGGTCTTAATCCTTTTAAGTGAACACAAGTGATTTCCAAAATTTTAGGAAAAAACCCACAACCCTCTTTCAAAACTAATTTACAAATGAGGGTTCTTATAAAAACTTCTTACCTTAGCAAATAAATGTGGTGGTGTATCAAAATGTCCATCCTGTTTCTTTGTAATATCTACAAGGAAAAGTTACATACTAATCTGTCAGCATTTGTGAGAAGACCAAAAAACCACGTTTCTTTGAAGGCTTCAAACTCACAAGGTATGTAATACTCTAAAAACATGGCAAAAAGACAAGCCTTCTACATTTATGGTGAATAAGATTCTTTAATAGTCTTTTATCTCTTCAGGCTACATGTGCATATGCTAGGAAATACATTTCAGCCAATCAGAATGCTGATAATCCCAACAGTTAGGGAATTACAACTTTAGAGGTATGTTTTAATGTGTTTAGTATCAAGTCTAACCACATCTAATCCTGTTATTTTGATTACAAACTTGAATGGAAAGGGAAAGGCCATCTTTAGATCTTTCTAAAAGGCCAGATAAGAAAGATTATGGAGACCATCACAGCCTTGGACCACAGCACATTACTTTTTTTGAATGAGAACAAGTGGAAGGAATGTAAAGGAAATAGGACATTAACATGGAGCGAACCTTTCAATAATTAAAGTTGAACAAACAGCTCAAACAGCTAGAATGCTGCTTTTAATCTATGCTATTCTGCAGAGAAAAATAGTCAAACAGCATAATTCAGCCTCAATGATCCTTAAATAGGAAATTCTTGTAATAGATGCTTACCAGATCTTTTGAATCGATGGCCTATGCTTCGAGACCAACCGATATGATGGATCAATGGGCTGTGCATGTGGCACCAGAAGTCATCTGTTCTGTCTTCACTCTCTTCATACACAAGCCTTAATCTTCCGCCAATTACACTTTCCACTACTGCCACTCGCGTTCGACACAAATGCCTCTTGTCAACCACTTCTACTCTCATGCAAGGTTTGAAAGGATATTGCATACTCTCTGAAACCTTGAAACAAAAGCAGACAACACCTGTTTGGAACTCATGACAAAGGCCCACAAGTAGTTTAATACTGTACTTTAAAAATGCTGAATGTACTCGATATTTAATGTAGATCATCCAGTTGATGAGGAAATCCTTAGACATGCTCTAAATTACCCTCTTTTTGAGAGCTCTTCAGTCCTTTATCAGATCCTATTTTTACCTTTTGTGAGAAGTCAGGAGGAAGGGTTTTGGCACCAGTCAGTCTTTTCACTAGAAAAGCTTTCCAGTTTGTATACTTATGTTGAATAGCTAAAACAAAAGAAATAACTAGTTTACACTTTAGCAAAAAGTAGAACTGATTCATAAATTATTTGTTATTTCTCTGCAAGTAAGATTATCAGTTAGGATCTTGAAAAGTAACAAAAAAAAAAAAAAAGAGAAAACAAGAATATCATTTAGTGGTAAAGTCCCTGACAATCAAAAATATTTTAATACTTAGTATTACTGTGTGTGAAATAGTCTTTAAGTACATATATTTAAAATTATAGTAAGGTTAATTTTGCGTTTAAAAATTTTTATTTATTTATTTATTTATTTGAAAGGCAGAGAGACAGAGGGAGAGGGAAGAAATGGAGGGAGACAGACTGATTTCCCAGCTGCTGGTTTACTTCTCAAAAGCCTGCAATGGCTAGGGCTGTGCTAGGCCTAAGCCAGGAGCTGGGAACTCAGTCTACATTTCTCACATGGGTAGCAGGCACTCAATCATCTGAGCCATCACAACCTGCCTCCCATGGTCCACAGCAGAAAACTGGAGTTGGGAACAGACCTGGGGCTCAAGTCCAGGAACTCTGATATGGGATGTAGGCATCCCAAGTGCTGGTTTAGCCACTGGGCCAAACACTTGCCCCTAGGGTCATTTTCCAAAGTTACTTACTTCTAGGGGGAACAAGAGGTTTTCCACTGGCCGCACACCAACCAACTGGATGTATATCAGAACCACATATATTGCACCAGAAGTCCAGACCCGAGTCATTTTCAAATCCTTCATATCTTAAAAGCGCATTATAACCTGAAACCAACAAATTATTACATAATTAAGAAAATAAAGTTGAAATAAAATTATGTAGCATCTGGTAGTGGAGTCCAACTTTCATTGGCATCTGCAATAGAATGACCAGCAGAGTTAAAAAAAAGACAGATGGCTGTGGCCTGTCCTAGATATTCTGGCTTAGTAGACTGTGGACGGGCCTAAGAATCTGCATTGCTAACATGTGCCCAGATGACGGATGCTGCTGCTGCTGGTGGTGGTGGTGGTCCAGAGACTACACTTTGAGAATCATTTATTAGATGTAATTTGTTTAACTGTACTGAGTGTGGCTTCCTCCTCTGAATGGATTTCAATTTTACTCATAATTTCTCAAATTCTAGAAAGAAATTCCTCAGTGAAAACAGGGTAGAATGGTTCTCTAATGTTTAGTTCTGATAATAACAGAGAAGACTGTGACAAGTTAGTAAAACCTTGTGAAGTCATAGAAATCCAGGTGTAGTATATGTCAAAGAAATGACTTTATCTAGCTAACTAGGTGGCCATTAACTCTTGGATAATATGAATGTGATGACTTCAAGTATCTACATTTTTTATTCTATTTATTATGGAATAAGATTTGAAAATTCTAAACAAGTTCCATAAACATAAAAGTAGGTGAATTTATGATTAGTATCAAACTAACTTCTACAATGGCATTAAAATGGCTTAAAAGAAGACACCTGATAAATTCAGATAAACAGAAATGTAAAGCTAGAGATGGAAGGCAGAACTAATTCTTGGGTGTAAGTGCACTGCCTATTAGAGCTATTTAAACGCAAATGACTCATACACATAGAGAACAAACAATGTTGTTTTAAATTACAATGTAGGGGCAGGTGTTGTGGCTCAGTGGGTTAAGCTGCCACCTGAGATGGTGGTATCCCATTATCAGAAGCTAAGTTTGAGTCCTGGGCTACTGTGTGCTTTTGATCAAGCTTCCTGCTAATGTGCCTGGGAAGGTAGTGGATGATGGCTTATGTACTTGGGCCCCTGACACCCATGTAGGAGACCAGGATGGAGTTCCCGGCTCCTGACTTTTGCATGGTCCAGCTCCGACTGTTGTGGACATTTGAGGAATGAACCAGCAGATACAAGATCTGTCTTTCCCCCTTTATGTCACTCTGCCTTTCGAATAGATAAATAAAGAAGCCTTTTAAAAGAAAACAATTTTTATACTGGAGAAAATAATGGAAGCATTTAGAGAGTGCTTCTATGGCTGGGGAAATGTTCATGGAAAAGGTGGGGGCCTACACTGGGTAATATGGGTAAGGAGAGAGCAAGGGGACTCTCTTGCAGGAGCAACCCAAGGCACAAAGGTGACAGCTGTGTGAGAGGAGCAACAACCTGGCCTGAACACATACTGATGTGAGGAAACAAAGTTTTGGCCAGTGGGGTGTGGTACTTATCATCTTCTTCATTTAAGGACAGAGAAGTCATCAAAGAAAATAGAGCAGAATGCAGATGGCCTGGGGGAAAATGGCTAGAGATAAGGAAAGAGTAGGATGAATTAGCTACTACTTTTAGTAGTAACCTAAGGAGAATCTTCTTATCAGAGTGGCCCCTCCTCTAAAGTACTATAGTATCCTAACATCTACTCATGTAGAGCATTTTGCCATACAATGTCTGGTAGGTGTCAACATCTGACAGATAAGAGTTTACTAGAGAAACAAAAACAAAAAGCACACAAAACCAAGATTTATTCTACCATCTGTCCACAGTGTCTAACACAGCGGACCCCTAACACAGTTATTTCACAGTCACAAAGTCACAAGGGCTCAGGTGTAGTGGAGTTGATGGAATGATAGAAAAAGGAGTCCAAAGTGAATGAAATGATCAACACTTGTTTACTTTTGGTATTGTGGCCTTTGTCACTGTTTTTTAGTACCTCAGCTTTTGTTATTTTTCAAAGTATTTCTCTGTATCAGGGACTGGTAAACTATACTATGGCTCACAGACCTTCTTTTATACTTTTAAATAGCTGCAAACAAAAATCAAAGGCAGCAAAATCTTTTTATCTGACATACGTGAAATGCTTTCTTCTGTGAATTACATGAAATTCGAATTTCAGTGCCTACAGATAAAGTTCCAGTAGTACACAGTCATGCCTATGTGCTGCAATTGTTACCTGCATGCTACAGTGGTAGAGATCAGAGTTGAGATAGATAGCACATGGCCTGCAAAGTTGGAAACGTTTATGGTCTGGTTTTTCACAGAAAAAAACCTGCCAGCCCTACCCTATAAAATAACTTCACTTATTTGTCAGTACTTGCAAAATTTATCAACTTTTTTTTAAACAAATGTTATGTCATTGGCATTTACTTGTAAGTTATTATGCATGCTTTTCACCTGCTAATTTTACAATTCCAGCAATCCAGAAGACTTTGGTAGGTAGGCTGCAGTCTGTATTGGGAACTTCTACTCTCACATTTTCTGAGATATCACCCCAGCAGGTTCCCATAGGTGCCTGTCATATAAAAATTATTAGATTATTGTCTTATTAACATAAAGCCCAAACATACACAAAATTAAGCATTACCATTAATAATTGGGTATTAAGCTAAAAACGCCACTTTACACATTTATTTACATCTAGATATAATTGCTATTCCCCCTTTTCTAGAGTTTTATTTGGAAAAAGCCAGAGTTAGCATCAAACTCAAGATGAAGAGAAAAGTCACACACATTAGATACAAGTTGAGTACAAAATTCAATGCTATTTTAATATAAGACTTAAGCAGCAAATTTCCTAAAAGCTGAAATACAAACCTGAAAGCAGATTAAGCAAACTTACTAGTTTCAATATGCACTGAATGAAAGCACTTTACCCTAATCTCTAATTTTAGAAGAACTGGCCAAAGAGCAGAAAGAAAAATGATTCCAATCAGCAACAGAGTTCCTAACAACTATATAAGGAAAAACAAAACTTAGTCATTACTTTCAATGTAAGTTAAATTCATAGAATATAATTTCTTCGGAAGGACACAAATGAAAAACATTGGATAAAGTTATTAAAAAGGTAGAGTTGAGGTTTTGGAAAAGAGTACCATCATAAATTGTTAAATAACTAATTATTTCACAATTTCTCAGGTAGGAATTACCTTAAAGAGAAAACTTCCAACCTTATACCTGGTATTCACCAGTCACCACACCAAACGGTCAAGACAGGGAATCAGAAAACCAATTAAATGAAAAACACAAAGGGATTTTCTGGAATACAATGTATGTTCCCAAATTACAATTTCTTTTACATTTTAATCCTTAAAATCCAATGCACCTCAAAATTATTCACAGCTTATGCAATGGTAAATTAAATCAAACAATTGAAATTTGTCATATGTGTAAGTGTTAATAAACAGTCTCTGTGTCCTTGAATAATCAGATCCTCATTAAATGTAATTTAGAATCTTGATCATAATGAAAAGGATTAAAGTTATAAAAGACTCACTCACATGAACAAATCAGAGAAAAACCATAACAGCCTCAATGCTCAAAGATGAGCAAAGATATCTAAGAGTCACACAAACCAGCCAATTTGAACAGTGGGCAAAATATCTTTCTTACAAGGCCCTTGTCCTTTGGTGGATGACCCAGCAAGGGTTAGCCTAAAACACGATTCAACACCTGTCCTCCCAATAGTTATGGAATCTCTGGAGGAGAGGAAAAGAATGTTAAATGATATGGAACTAGAATAAGTCTAGAAACCAAATGCAGAATCAGTTAGTAGCTATTACTTTAAGACACAAGCAATGAATATACCTGAATTAACTTAGAGATGTGGTCTATTTTAACTATTTATAATTTAGGAATGGCACACTAAACTATCTCCCCGAGTTGTGCAAAAAATAATATATTCATATGACCACCTCTTTTTTAAACTGAAAGACTGGACTCTTCAGGTTCTGCTATCTCCCCCTATAAACATTCTAGACTGTAGGGCCATCCCTATTGCCAGCAGATACGATCAGAAAAAAAGGCTGGAAGATAGGCAATATAGATTAAGGTAGCATTTATTAATATAAAGATTATGTATCCATTTCTGTAGGATGAACCCAATTAGAGCAGATAAAGCATGCATTAAGTTGTATTAAATTAAGGTCTAGTATCTTTGTTTGGCTGCCAAATTTGTGAATTATATTTATTTTTTTCATTGAGAAGAAAGAGGCATGTTTGTGCTGACCAGTTAAGCAAGAGGTTAGGTTGGCACGTTGCTAAGTGAATTTGGCAAAAGGAACTAAAATCTTTTGAGAGCTAGATATGACAATTTGCCATGCTGTTTTTTAAGACTTTACATTGGTTTGGAGAAAATTTTTAGTTATATTTTATTAAAGAAAAACAAAATGTCATATGCTCACTTAAGAAATAAATGTTCACTTCAGTGGCGGATATTATGTTTTGGTCCCTACAGTCTGGATTGGTATAGGAGAAAGTAGCAGAAAGTGACATTTGTTCTTGCCTGTAAGGTTGTGGTTCTGCTAGGCCCTCTTAAACCAATCCATATGGTTCACTCTAAGAAAAAGAACGAAAAACAACATCAACAAGGAAGAGCACCAGTCAGAGCATAGAATGTGCTCAGTGTGTTGAAATACTAAGATAATTTCACAGATACATCTGCCCTTATGTTTAAAACAAATATTAAGTGTGGAAGACTAAATGACCGAGGGCTTAACAGCCATCTTCGTCCAAGTCATCTGTCTTCTCTTGCTGGCAGGAGGGATACCTCTGAAAGTCTGGATTGGCACAGCATGAACTAGCAGAACCATAATTTACAGGTAACAACAAATTTACCTTCCAGACTCAGGACGCGAGGTCCACCTCAGGCTCCACCACTTCCTGCTCCAGGGCCACTCGTGAGGGCTATCTGGGGAGCGGCTCTCCTTCCCTGCAAGGTAAGCTGTCATCAGGTCCTGCAGGACATGGCCAAGTCCAAATGTTGAGAGGGCCCCAACACAAATGTGGGTAACCTCCACCTGACTGTCTGTTGGAAGAAAATAAGTGGGCAGGAAGTCTTACTTTCTGTACTTCAAGAACATCCCCAGACAGTCCAAAAGCCCACAGGGCTAGCACTCAACTTTTACAGGGCCGATACACTGCACACGCACATGGCTGAAACAAGACTTCCCTCTGCAGAGCTGCCAACCTGTAACTTTTCATAACCAGAAACTTTAATGTTAACAAAGAACATGAACAGGCAGAGTTAAGAAGCAAAGTTGTGCATAGGTAACCAAGAATCTATCCCAACGACACAGCAAATGTACAGAAAGCCACCACTGAAATGCCTACAGACTAACAGGCACATGATTATTAAAGTGCATCTAGCAAGGAAAGATGAAATACTTGATAAAAAAGGAGGGGGAGAGAATACCACAGAAAACTGACTAGAGAGAAGTAACAGTTCCTAAACACTACTTAACAGATATGGAAAGAAGTAGAAACAGAAAAGCAAACAAAACAAAAACAAATGCAGAACTGTTCCCATCTTCCCCAAGGAAGTTAACTCATCTTCTGATTTGTTTTGGGTGGTGGTATTGAGAGATGAGTGGAGAGGACAATGAAGAAGACAAAATAAAATGGAATTCTTAGGGTTGAAGTAAGATTAAGGATGAGAGAATGCATGCATAAATAGACAGGAAGTAGAGGCTACTAATTTTAAAGGCTTAAAATAGTACTTTTTAAAAAAAGAAATCACATTAAGTCAGTATTATTTAAAAACTGTGGGATATACCAATAGGAAAAAATACTCAGTAATAGAAACAGAGCAAAAATAATAATATTGATTTATTTAAGTTGCTTTCTTTTTGCTAAAAAATATGCAATGATAATATTCAAGTTTTCAACTTTCAGTAGAGCGTGAGTGAAGGCTGGGGAAAAAATAAATATACCTCAGAAAGATTATTTTACTAATAAACATATACCTGAGATCATATACATAGATTATGAGACTAGTGTTGTGGCAGAGTGGGTTAAACAATTGCCTATGACAATGCCAGCATCCCATATTACAGCACTGGCTTGAGTCCTGGCTGCTATACTTCTGACCCAGCTCCCTGCTAATTGGCTAGGAAAGCAGTGGAAGATGGTCCAGTGTTTGGGTTCTTGCCAACCAAGTAGTATATATAGATAAGCTCCGGACTCCTGGCTTTGACTTGGCCTTTGTGGCTATTTGGCGAGTGAGCCAGAAGATGGAAAGTATTTTTTTTTCTCTTTCCCTCTCTAACACTGCCTTTCAAATAAATATGTATTTTTAAAACAACAAATAACAAGGTTTATTACAAAGTTTACCTATTTCTACAAATATAGAAACAAAAAGTTTTTTTTTTTTTTTTTTTGACAGGCAGAGTGGACAGGGAGAGATAGAGAGACAGACAGAAAGGTCTTCCTTTGCCATTGGTTCACCCTCCAATGGCTGCTGCGGCTGGCACGCTACGGCCGGCATACCGCACTGATGCGAAGGCAGGAGCCAGGTGCTTCTCCTGGTACCCCATGGGGTGCAGGGCCCAAGTACTTGGGCCATCCTCCACCGCACTCCCTGGCCATAGCAGAGAGCTGGCCTGGAAGAGGGGCAACCAGGACAGAATCTGGTGCCCCGACCAGGATTAGAACCCGGTGTGCCGGTGCCGGAAGGCGGAGGATTAGCCAATTGAGCCGTGGTGCTGGCCAAAACAAAAGAAGTTTTTTAAAAATGTTTTTAATATGAGGATACTTCAAAAAGTTTGTAGAAAATACAATTAAAAGGTAGCATTATTTTAGTTAACAATTTTTGAAATGCATGAATAATTTTTTCACGATGGCCATTTTCCATGAACTTTTTGAAGATGCTATAAATGCATGCATGGATTTCAAATTTTTTTGCAACAAAATACACATCTTTTAATACCATGAACTTTCTGATGTACCTGTCTTATACATGTTGCAAGAAATATCAAAAATCTAATAAAAAAAGACAATCAGATGGGGCCTGCATTGTGGCACAGCAGGGTGAGTTGCCGCCTGTAATGCTGCTATTCCATAATGCAGCTCTCTGCTAATATGCCTGGGAGGGCAGTGAAAGATGGTCCGAGGGCTGAGCCTCTGCCATCCATGTAGGAGATAGGGTTCTAGGATGCTGGTTTGGGGCTAGCCAACCCCAACTGTTATAGTCACTTGGGGAGTGAACGATCTCTCTCTGTGACTGCCTTTCAAATAAACTAATAAAACTTTTGAAAAGATTTTACTTATTTGAGACATCGAGTTACAGGCAGTAACTTCTTCCATGTCTCCCATGTGGTGCTTGGGCCATCTTCTTCTGTTCTCACAGGCCACAGCAAAGAGCTGTACTGGAAGAGGGGCAGCCAGGACTAGAACCAGCACCCACATGGGATGCTGGCACTGCAGGTGGAGGATTAACCTACTGCGCCACAGTGCCAGAACATCTCCCCCCCCCCCCCCTTTTTTTAAAGAGAGAATTAAGAGTGTGGTCATGAGTTG